CCCCGGCACGAGGCGGGTGGGGGGCGGCCGGTGAGCTCCCGGCCCCCTCCCTGCGCCCCGGACCCAGGTGAGGCCGCTTCTCCAGCCCACGTCTCTGTCTCCGCCTCCTCCGCGGACCCCCTTCTAGACCTCCGCCTCCCCCGTCCCAGGGCCCAGTTCATTCTCTCTCAGAGCTCATCGTGGCCGGTCCTTCCATAAGTTAGCATTCAGTTATGTTCCATGAATACACTATTATCAGTGTTTGCTTACAGCGTCTCCCCCGCTGGAGCGCGGGCTGCGGGAGGGAGGCTTTGTGTCGCCCACTGTTGTGGGCCCTTTACTTCAGCAAATGCTGCCTGAGGGCCCTGGCCCTGTGGGATTATCCCTGGAGCCAAGCCACGGCCCCTTGGGCACCCTGAGGCTGGGGACAGCGTGTCAGCACAGGGAGTCTGTTGGAGCTTTCTTACGTTTCTCTTTAGAAAACGTAAGAATACAAGTTAATAGAGGGGGGGGGGGGGGGGGCTGTGCTGGGCCCTCCTGGGTCAGACCACCTTGGTGGCCAGGAGCAGTTTAGATAAGGTGCTCAGGGCAGGCCGCTCAGATTAGGTGATTAGATTAAAACCCACAAGTAAACTGACCAGTGCTAGAAGGGAGTACACAGAAGCTACAGGGCACTTAATGCCGGAGCCTCAGAGGGCCAGGAGTTAAGACAATAGGAACCCGCCCCTTTATTGCTCCTAGGAGCCTGGCCTGGGGACGGTTTGGTGGGGGATTACCAGGGGCCTGGGCGGGCTTCCTGGAGGAGGCAGTGGTTTCACTGGGCACCAAAGTCAAAAGAGCTCTCATCCTTTAGGGCCGTGGTTGGCAAACTGCGGCTCACGAGCTACATGCGGCTCTTTGGCCCCTTGAGTGTGGCTTTTCCTAAGCCTTAGGAGCACCCTAATTAAGTTAATAACAATGTACCTACCTATATAGTTTAAGTTTAAAAAATTTGGCTCTCAAAAGAAATTTCAATCGTACTGTTGATATTTGGCTCTGTTGACTAATGTGTTTGCCGACCACTGCTTCAGGATAGGTTGACCGGGTCTGAGAATTATTTTGCAGGCGCACTGGAAATCACGTGGTCAAGTGGTTGAGCCTTGCGGCCAGACCAGAGAGGCCCCTGCCTCCCCCTAGGAAGCTCTGCTGGTAAGTGCGTCATCGCGGCGACTTGTCCCCAGCAGGTGTGAGGGGACGAGGAGGCCAGGCTGTGCTCCTGCTGGCCATGTGGTTGTGTGCAGTTCACCTTCACTGCTCCCTGCCTCAGTTTTCCATGAGTCAGGAGGGTCATGCCCTGGAGGTCTGGCCTCAGGGTTGGCACTAAGGGGTCCCCAGATTAGGGGATAGTTTTAGCACAATGGTTTCAATGGACTTGGGGTCCATTTCAGCTCAGCTGGGCCGGTTCCTCTGGATTTTAAAAAGCTGAGTCAAAACCCTGCCATACCTCCTGGTCTGATACGATCACATTCTCCTCTGCGTCCTATGACATCCAGTGTATTTCAACAACCAACCATGAGAGAAGGGCAGGGGAGGCTAGCTATTTCCACAGATGAAGCCACTGAGAGCCGCCATCAAACAGCAAGGGAGTAGAGGCCACAGGGCTGGGCCCAAGCCTCCTCCAGAGCCAGCACCCTTCCCCACAGGGACACGGGGCTACCTCCCTCTCTGACCCATGGCTGCCTCTCTTGCCTCACAGTTCCTATGGAGCCATGAAGCTGAACGAGAGGAGTGTGGCCCACTATGCACTGAGCAACTCCCCAGCAGACCACAGGGGCTTCCTGCGCACCTGGGGGGGCCCAGGCACTCCACCCACCCCCAGTGGCACTGGCCGAAGGTGCTGGTTTGTCCTCAAGGGCAATCTGCTGTTCTCCTTTGAGAGTCGAGAGGCCCGGGCCCCTCTGGGGCTGGTGGTGCTGGAGGGCTGCACGGTGGAACTGGCCGAGGCTCCCGTGCCGGAGGAGTTTGCCTTCACCATCTGCTTCAACGCCCCCGGTGTGCGTCCATACCTGCTTGCTGCTGATGGACCGGCAGCCCAGGAGGCCTGGGTGAAGGTGCTGTCCCGGGCAAGCTTTGGCTACATGCGCCTGGTGGTGCGTGAGCTGGAGAACCAGTTGCGTGATGCCCGCCAGAGCCTGGCCTTGCATCGCCACTCATCCTGGAAGGCCGGTACAAGCTCCTGTAAGACCCAGCCTGCTGACCAGCTGTCTCGGGGCCTGGAGAACGGCCACACCCTCTCCAGGGATTACAGCCCCATGGGCGTGGTGGAAGCCGGGGGCAGCAGGCCAGCAGGGCGGAACTTGGCAGAATGTGAGTTGCAGGGCGCTGCCAGCCTCCTAGGCAGGGGCCAGAGCCCCGTGTCCCCCGAGACCTCTTGCTTCTCTACCCTGCATGACTGGTACGGCCAGGAGATCCTGGAGCTGAGGCGGGGGTGGCGGCAGAGGGCCCAGGGGAGCCAGCCAAAATGTGAGCAACAGGATAAACCCTGAACCTGGACCCTCTGGGTGCTGCCCTTGTCCTGCTGGTCAGGACACTGGGGCCAATTCTTTTTTTTAGGAGTTTGATGTTTACTTGTTTCCAAAGTTGCTTTTTTTTTTGAGGGGGTTCTCCAGGTTCCAGATCTACCCTCATACCTGGAGAGGCCTGAGGAATCATTACTTGTATCCCCTTTATTTCCTGAGGCCCAGAGAGCAAAGGTGGCTTGGAGGGTCCTTTGGTGGGAGAGGGTCTTCAGCCACCACAGAGGGATGGACTCTGCTCAGAAAGTGCTGGAGCCCCGTCCTCTCTCTCCTTCTGGCTATCCTGACAACAGGCGGTGCTGGATGCTGACCCCGGAGGGACTGGTAGCTTTTTGCAGAAACCCTGACTGCACTTGGTACACAGCTGCCAGCTCCTGGGTCTGCAGAGGGAAGCCGAAGAGGTGGGCAGGCAGTGTGGCTCCCCAGGGACAGCCCGTTTGGTGTGGTTCTCAGTCCGGGCATTCTCGGAGCTTGGGCACAGGACTGCTGGCACCTTGTGATAAACCCTCTCCTGCCTGGGCTCCCAGAGGGGTGTTCCAGCTCCTGTGACCACCTGGGAACTTGCTCACAGTCCTGCTTGTCACCCAGGGTGCCCCTGCCAAGACCCTCTCATTGCCGCCCTCCCTGGCAGGCCAGATGTCTTCTTTTTCCATTTATTCTGGGGGGCACAGTGGCTGGCTCTACAGAGCCAGAGGCCTGACAAGGCTGATGCCCCACTGGCATGGTGGCAGGGGCTAGATGGGCGATGCGGAGACTGCGCAGAGAACACCCCCACCCCCAACACACACCATCTGTCCCTTAGCCTCTGCCACTGGGGCCTCGGCAGCCTGACCAAGGCCCAACTAGGCCTAGAGCAGTGGTTCCCAACCTCTTTTGGCCACGCCCACCCGAGCAACTCTAACATCCTGATGTCCCCCTCCCTGTGACATAGAATTCTCATTATTCAAAAAGTGAACTCTTATGCACGTGGAGGAAGCCTAAAAGACCATTAACTTGATCTAAACAAGCTTCCAAAGAACATGGCATCATGAAAGAAAAAAAATAAAAGAACGAAAGGACAGTAGACATACCGAGGAAGAAATTACTAAGAAATTGTTTTTAAAAAATGAAATATGAAAAAATAGCAAATAAAGTTTAAAAACATAATAGAGAACTGAAATGCATAAATGTCACAATATATATTTACAGACTGTATACGAGGTCCCTAGAACCTTAAGAAATGCAAAAAAGTCACTGATAACTCTCGCATTGGCCCCCTGTGGGGCGTGTGCCCACGTTGGGAACCACTGGCCTAGAGGCGGAGGCTCAGAGCCTCAAGTAAAGGCAGGAGGCTGAAATCGGGTTCAGAGTCCGGGACCTCTTCCCGCCCGACTTGTTTCCAAAGAGGAGGGGCCGCCTCCCAGCCCTAAACGGAAGCGCCACAACCTTGTTTTATATAGATATTCCAGGCTTTTATCTTTCTTATTGTTACAGTAATTTTGGTACGATTAAAACACTACGTTCTTTTCTACTCATCTTGAGTCAAGTTCATTTCAACAATCGCCTGAGGGCTGCTCTGCCGAGCTCCGGCGGGCCGGCGTGGGAAACGGAAAAGACCTGACGAGTTCCCAGCACCGACCCTACTCACGGCCCGCCTACCGCGCCGGGGCTTCGGCGGCGTCCTCGTGACGTCACGACGTCGTGCTGGCCCGGGACAAACGCCTCCCTCCCACCGCAACTGGAACTAGGCGCACTGCGCGACTGTGAGGCTGGGCCTCTCGTAGGCTCCGAAAGCCTCGCGAGGCTTGGGGCAACGTTCTTTGTGAGGGCGTCGCCGGGGCCAGGCGCTGGGGTCCGGGTGCCGGGATGGCGTCTGGAGCGGCTCGCCGGCTGGTATTGGCGCCTGTCCGATATGGGGCTCTCCGGAGAGGACCGAGCTTGACTAAAGATGGAGATATCTCCGCCGGACGGGGCGGCTCAGGTCAGAGCCTGGTACCGTCGAGGTCAGTCATCGTTACTCGCAGCGGCGCATTTTTGCCCAAACCGGTGAAAGTGAGTGTCTGCCTGGAGGCGGGGCAAAGTTGCCGAGGCCAATCGTAGTGGGAAATGTGTGCGGGTCGACTTTGATTGATAGGAGCAATGGCCAATCAAATGGCCGCCTTAGACCAGAAGATGGATCAAAAACAAAGTTTTGCACTAATGCGCTAATTTTGACTGGTGGGAGGTGGGGTTAGGTCCTGGTGTTGAGCTGGGTGTGTGTAGAGTGGAGATGGGGGCTAGAAAGAAGAGCACTTTGCACTAGCTTATCTTTAGGAGCGCGGTGTCTAGATCCATCTCTGGTGCCAGAGGACTCGGCTTTATGAGTCCAATATAAACAGATCCTGTAACCTCTGCCCGTCTACCTCAGAGTTGATGTAAATAAAGTGTAGGTGGGTCGGGACTTACCTTTTTTATGAGTTTGGACTTAGTCCTTAAGTCATGTGATTTGAAGTCCTGAGAGGTGTGCAGGAGATTATTACCATCGTTGTTTTTACCAATACAGCGTCCATCAGGTCCTATTTTTCCATCACTGAATGCTTTCACATGCCCTCAGTACCCGGGGTTTCCTAAGTAAAATGTAAACAGTCCCTTATACCAAACAAGTTTGCTTTTTGGCTCCCAAAACGGGGCGGGGGGTGCTTACAAAACAAAAATTCTTAAAAGCTAGGCTGGCCTATGCTAGTTCACAGACAGGTGAGTTCAGGGCTGTTTCCTAGCAAGACGCAGGAAGGTGCAGGGTGCGTGTTGGGGAAGAGATGCCTTATAAAAAGGCATAGCTGGGAAAATGTTTGAAACTCCATAGGAAAATACAAGAGGAAATGTTGAGATTTTACAAAACAACCCAGTCCATTTAAAAAGCTAGACTTTCAGTGTAAAATACATGCTCACTTTCAAAACACACCTGTTTCTAAAATTTAATGTGGTGAAATCAAATTTGTCATCGGGAAATCTGTTACTTCAAGAACTCTAAAGAATATTCCTTCACTGTACATCTTTTTATAATCCATTTTCATGTATTTAGTGTCCAAGTAAAACTGAATTTTACTTCCAGAGTCCAGCCCTCTTAGTACTTTCTCACCTGTTTCTCTATAGGTATCTGTAAATAATTACCATATTGTGCTCCAATTTTTACTTATTTTTATTTTAAAATATATTTTTATTGATTTCAGAGAAGAAGGGAGAGGGAGAGAGAGAAATATCAATGGTGAGAGAGAGTCATTGATCAGCTGCCTTCTGCACACCCCCTACTGGGGATCAAGCCCCCATGGCAGGTGCGGACGATGCCGGAGCCACACCAGCCAGGGCATGTGCTCCAGTTTTTAGATGTCCAGAATACCTTTATCTTTCTTTCTGGTATCCACTTTGATGGCCATAAAATCACTTTATCTCTTCTTCTAATTTTTGCTCTGAATTTTCCCAAGGACTTTAAAATCAAGTTGTTTATGATGGGGCTGGAGTCCCTAAGAGGGAAGGACTCTGGGAGGGCCAGGCCTTCTGCAGTCCTGCCACGGTGGGCCCTGGGGCTCACAGTTACCACTCTGACCCTCTGCAGATGTCCTTCGGCCTCCTGCGTGTGTTCTCCATTGTGATCCCCTTCCTCTATGTCGGGACGCTCATTAGCAAGAACTTTGCCGCTCTGCTTGAGGAGCATGACATTTTTGTCCCAGAGGACGACGACGATGACGACTAACAGGTAGGACCTGCTATTCCCCTCCATGGCCCAGGAGCAGGAAGCAGGTGGGTTCTGAACTGGTAGTTTGGCCTGGTGGACACTTGAAGCAGAAGTGCAGACCTTTAATGAATTGACTCATTTGGTGGCTAATCTTGTCTTTTCTCTGTTGGATGAGGGAAACTGTCTTATTGACTTATAAATTCACTGGGGTTTCTTCCAACTAGGTTGGACCACAGCCAGACTATCTGTCTATCTAATTTAATCTCTTATCTATTTATTTTTATCCTCACCCGAGGATATGTTTTTATTAATTTTTAAAAGATAGAGGGACAGTATGAGAGAAAACAATCACTTGCCTCCCGTACCGACCCCAACTGGTGATCCACAAACTAGGTATGTGTTCTGACCAGGAATCGAACCTGCAACCTTTGGTTGTACGGGACAACACTCCAACTGAGCCACCAGCCAGGGCTCATTTGCCCTTTATGTGCCTTGTTCTCACCACCCCAAAATTTTCTCTACAGTTTAATATGCCTTACATACCCACCACAGACAGCTTCATTTTAGTACTTCAAATTGAAATTCAGAAACTAGATTCTCACCATGGACAGCTATGGTTACCAAGCGCTGCACCAGCACAGCCTGTACGTGGTCACCACTGCTTAGACCCTTCCCCCAAGACATGTCCCATTCAGCTTCCTTGTGTTGACTTCTGGTGCTGATATGTGTGTGGCTGCATTATTGTCATATAGACACTCCTGATTCTTTAGTCTGGCATTCAAGGCTTGCCATGATCTGGTCACACCTATTCTAGCCTCATCTTCATGTTCCCAACCACACACCTGTCCCTGGTACTCACCATTTCTTGAATTACTCCCAAGCATGGGCTCATTGTTCCTCCCACTTAAAAGGCTGTCCCACCACTCCATTTCCACAGTTCTTCATTATTTTCGATAAAGTCTTCCCACATCCCTCCATTTGAAAGTGACTGCTCCTTCTGACTGGCCAGTCCCTCTCTGTTGACCCTCCATGTTACGTGTTTAAACACGTACACCCCAAACTCTACTAGACCATGAGCTTCTTGCTGGCAGGGAACATGATTTATACCAGCCGTGGGCAAACTACGGCCCGCTTGAAATGAATAAAACTAAACAAAAAAGAGAGAACGTACCCTTTTATGTAATGATGTTTACTTTGAATTTCTATTAGTTCACACAAACACTCCATCCGTGCTTTTGTTCCGGCCCTCCGGTCCAGTTTAAGAACCCATTGTGGCCCTCGAGTCAAAAAGTTTGCCCACCCGATTTATACCTTCAGGGCTCCCATGCCTGGTCTGTGGTGAATGCTTAGTAAATGTACGAATGAATAACCAAATTTACTCAAAACCGCCTCTCCCGTTTGATAGAAGCACTCTGGAATTCTCTTTCAGTATGTGGATGAAGGGCTGCTCTGCTGCCCACTTCACTGCTGCTTTCCTTTCTTGCAGGTCATGAAGTTCAGGAAAGAGAAAGCCCTCCCTGAATCAAGACATGGCGATGCTCACAGCCTCTCCTCCTTGCCTCTCAGCAGAAGGGACTAGCGAGAGCCCTCAGCCTCCCAACTCCAGTGAAGCCTCCTGCAAGGCCCATGCCCACAGCCCTTTGTCCCAGGCTCTGGGAGTGTCCCCGAGATGCGCAATCCACTGAGCTAACCAGGTGATGAATAAACATGACAAATACCAACTATGCGTGAGTGAGTGATGGCTGGATTCCTCAGTATGAGTAGGTTCTAGCTGTTGTAGTTTCTTGTCTCTGCTGTTGGTTCTCTAATAGGCCTTTGATTTACAACCCAGGGTCTCCAGGCCCTTATGGATCCATAATTATGGGACCTGGCACCTATTTTCATTATTTACAAAACCCCAACAGAAAAGCTGCACAGGCTAACTAAACCCTCAAACTTGCTTTGTGTGGAATAACACTGGCTAATTGTCACATGCCAATCTATCATGGCTTTGGTTGTTAGTTTAAAACTATAAAATATTAAAGTGATTATTTTAAAACTTGGTTTCTTAGATGAAAATAGGATCTTGGTGCTGAAAAATTTGGGAATCCTAAGGGTGACTATATACTGAACCCCTTTTTCCAGCTTTTAGACCGTCCAGTGAAGGAACAGAGAAGACTGCTGTCCAAAGCAGAGATCACTTCTTTTACCTGGTCCAACATTTATTGTTACTTTAAAGCTGCAACCGTTTGCAAAAACAGTTGGAATATTTGTTCTCCGGGTGTGCACTGAACATCTGTGTCCCTAGTGGGGAGCCTAATTGAGTAGGAAGTTAATTTCATTTTAAGGACCCGTGCTTGTTGCAAATAGAGAGTTAGGCCTCTGATCAGCCACTTTCTTCAAAACCCAGGGCAAATAGCCCCGTTTGTGTTCTCTGCTTCTGTGCCTTAGTGCTGCTCTCATCCCTCTCCGACAGCAAGAGCTGGCTAATGTTGGATAATCTGTGTGGTGACACTAACCATCCAGTCCTGGAGGCTGTGGAAACACAGCTACATTAACGAAGTCATCCAGCCGCATACCCAGTATGACAGTTTCTCAACAGATGGCCTTGTATTTCCTGTTTACCACATGCAAGGCTCTGGGAAGAGAATCCACTGTCATTTATAGGCAACCCCACACTTCAGGAAAAGGGAACGAACAGGTGGTGTGTATATGCCTACCCCACTTGTTCAGGCAAAAAGTGAGACTGCAGAAACGGAGCTTCCCATTGGTTCACCAATGGAATCCTACCACGAAGTGACCATCATATACTGAGTTTATTTGTACTATAAAGTATTTAAATATCAACATGCACCTTCCCACTGAATGACTTCATGGGTCGTGGCCAACATAGAACTTGGACAGGAAATCCTTTGGCCTTGGAGTTTCTGTTTCATGGAAGAACCGCATGACGTGTGTCCGCTGCTTCCACACTTTAATAGTTTCCTCCAGTTCCATCTTTCCCTGCACAAGTGAGGGGAGAGGTCTTCAGTCAAAGTGGGCCAGTGAAAGCAATACAACACCGAAGGCCAGGATTCTATTTTCTGCTCGGACACTGACTTGAGTGACCTTGGGTAAGTAACGTACTCTATCTAGACCAGTTTCTGCATCTGAAAACAGGTTTTGGACTAAATGATCTCTGAGGGCTTTCACATATTCTTTAACTGGCTGACTGGTCTAAGGAGAGAGGACTTCCAGGTCAATGGGCCCCTGCCCCATGACGCCTAAGCTCAGGCTTAACTTGTATTTCTGCTTAACACGCTAACGCTCCCTCCTATTGATGCTCCTGACTGATCAGACAGAATCAGGGCCAGGACTGGACCCCATTTACACAGGACTCGGCCCACCGGCCACCTCTTCCAGCTGTAAGCTGGCAACCAGGTGAAGCAGTAACCTCTAGGGAAGGGTTGAAGAAGAGTTCAAACTTTAACCCCATACCTTTTTTTAGTTATAAAATGCAAGCCCTGATGGGTTTTCCCTTGCACAATCTTATAATCTCTTTAATCAGGTGATAACCTCCAAGTTCATCTGTTCCAGGCAACAGTTGCTGACCCAGCAGTTGCTTTTTAAACTTGGAAACACAGTGTTCATCTGGGAAGACTGGAGAGCTCTGGGCAGGTTGGGTGTTCTTTAAATCGGTCAGGGAGGGTCAGTTACCTTAATGACCAGAAGATCAACCACTCTGGGGTCTGTGACGTGGGCATTCTTCATAAACATTTCTCGGACTTTATCCCGTCCCTGTTTCACAGAGATGTCTAGCTGGAATAAGTTCACTAAAGAGAAAACATGACCAGGGTAAAAATCATATGGTTAAAACATATTTTTTAAGTTTTGATCTATGGATATTCATTAAACACATAGAGGTTGCCCATTCAATTCACTTTCCAAATATTAGCCTGACCCCAAGCTAGGTGCTTGAGGATGTGAAGAAGTGAGACTGCCCTCAAAGAGCTTATATTTTATTTGGGGAGACAAGGCCACTGCATTTGAAGGGCAGTACGAGCATAGGCCAAGTGTATGAATGACCTGGGTTCAAATTCCATCTCTGTCACTTATCAGCTATATATCCCTGTGTACGTTAACTTCTCTGTGCCTGAGTGCACTTATATATGAAGTGAGGACAATAATAGCACATTTAACACCAGAGCTGTTGGGAGGATTTTAACAATGCAAGATGCTTAGAACAGTGCCTGGCATGGAATAAATCAATAAATGTTAGTAGTAGTATTATTATATAGAGCATTTGCCAAAAAACAGGTTGGAATTAAGGTAAAATGATGTAGTGTAGGTTTGTGCACTATAAGAGTTGAGGGAGACTGCTGAGGGTTTGTGTAGGTAGGGAAGGCTTCAATCCAGCTAGCACTACCATGTTAGGTTACTGGGGGAAGAAGAGAGAAGTTTGACATAAGTTCTGTTCTCTTGGTTGTAAATTCTAATTAGAGGAACTGCTACCCATGAATGCAAGCATGAAATCACAATATTCAGCAATCCCTGGTTAAATATGTGCCTAAAACAGTGGCAGAGACTCAATGACCTAGACTTCATGTGAAGCACATGGATGGCCTTTGAAAATTAGATTGCAGTCATTTGTATTCCCATCCGGGCAGTCAGCCTGCAGTGGTTTTGCTGATGACAGCCTTGTGTGGTAGGTGCAATAAGGATAGAAGGGGGGCCACCAGCTGAATGCACAGCACAAACGAGGCTCTCGGGATAGGCTGGGCAGTGTGCTCACTTGGTGAGGTGCCTGGTGGTGTGGTCATTCCTGCGACGTGTCCATTCCACTACAGAACTGTCACAACCAGCTCTGAACACCACTGTTGAGAGCTAATTAGTGACTGGCTGAATGAATAATAATGCTTGACTTTTTAACTATACTCAGAACTTAGTGACAGAAAAACAGCTTCTGCTGAGGAAATACCATGCCATGCTGCAAAGACAGTTTCTGACCCACACATGGAATAAATACACGATAGCAGAAATCGAACAGGAGAAGCTGCATCCCAGTTTCATAGGTCAGTAAGTGTTCACAGAACGGGCAGGACTGAGGATCAGACAGTAGAAAGAACTCTGTATCCAGTGGTCGCTGAAGCAGTTTCCCATGGGGAGCCAATTCTACGCATCTCCCCAAATCTGCTGCCTTCACTTCCATAGCTTAACATCAACCGTAGTGGGAGTATTTACACCGTGGAAAACGGAAAACATTATAAATCTAGGTTTCCCTCCAGAGAGTTGGCTGTTAAAACACTACAGAATCATATTAGGAATTTTAGAAAATGGTAAACAAAGGGACAATAAGAGACACAAAAATAAATGTAAACTAGTGTGGAGCCTAGAATTTAGAATCTTACCACTTGGGATGGGGGGGGAGTGAGGCCTAGAGCGGCGGTCGCCAACCGGTGGTCCTTGAGGTCCGAAAGGTTGGCGACCGCTGTCCTAGAGCACTGTGGGGACTTGCCTGAGGTCATACTACTGGTCCCTGGCAAACTTGGGCCTGGAATCCCGGGTGTTTCTTGTGTTTTAAAATTTACAATTGGCACTCTTTGAAGGAAAGAAATATGAAGAACCTTCCCTTGCTATCAGTATAACCCTTGCATCTTTATATTCGATTCCTCACTGTAGGCACACCAGGGGAGCTGGTGCCCATCACTCCCATCCTCATGTCCTCCTGAACCCCTGCCAGGAAAATGTCACGTGCACAAATGCAAAGTTTTGCTTACGAAGTCAGTTCATAGATCCCTGAATGCCCATCCTTCCAGGTTAAGAACCTTTGTTCTCAAGAGACAAATTCTATAGCTTTGTCCCAGGCGCCTTCCTGGCATCCTAACCCCTGAACACAACCTTCCACCAGTGGAAAGGCCTTAGGAAGGCAAACAGGAGCAGCCTAAGCTATGGCCTGCTGAATTGTTCTCTGGTCCAAATCAGTGGTTCTCAAACCAGCGGTGACTCTGCCACCCCCTGCCTCTAATATATGGCAATGTCTGGAGGTATTTTGGTTTGTCACAATTAGGGGGGAATGCTCTTGGCATCTAGTGGGTAGAGGGCAGGGATGTTGCGAACATCCTACAATGCACAGGGCAGTCCCCTAAAACAATTATCCAGCACAAATGTGGCTACTGAGAAACCCTGGTGTAAATTTCAACTGTCCCCTACCTCCCACTCCTCCCTGTAACAAGAAAGGGTTCTGGGCACTCCAGGCACGCATTATATTTTGAAACATCTGAATTTAACACACACTTCTCATACCTATTATCCACCTGTCCCCTGAAGGTATTTGAATTTACAATCCCTGAACCAGTAGTTAGTTCTCTCAAGTTTCTCCTTCCCTAGGATCCTGTGGGTTTAAGTTCTGGTCATCCACAATTTCTCCAAGTCAGCTTGAGGACAGGGACAGTATGGAGCAGTCACAGTTCCTACCGTTAGAGGAGAACTACAAGGAGGCTTCTGCTAGGTAAGCCCTATAAATAACAATAGTGATAACAACAACAATAAAAAAACAGTAGTCAATATGTAAGGAGTGCCCGATTGCCAGGCCCTATCCTAAGCACTCTAACTATATTAACCTATTTAATACGGTAACTGTTGGAAGAAGGTACTATTATCCTCATTTGATAGACGAGGAAACTGAGGCACAGCAAGGTGAAATCACTTGCCCAAGGTCACACAGTAAGGGGCAAGGTCTGGAGGCAAGTTCAGCAGCCACCACATTCTACTCCTCACACACAGGCGGGGAGCAGCAACCCGGAACAGGTGCTATGGTGCTCCAGCTAGCTTAAAAACACCTCCCCTCTCGATCTAGCAGTGATGGTCTGCATTAAAACACACTAAATCAGTGGTTCTCAACCGTCCTAATGCCGCGATCCTTTAATACAGTTCCTCATGTTGTGGTGACCCCAACCATAAAATTATTTTCGTTGCTATTTCATAACTGTAATTTTGCTACTGTTATGAATCGTAATGTAAATATCTGATATGCAGGATGTATTTTCATTGTGACAAATTGAACATAAAGCATAGTGATTAATCACAAAAACAATATGTAATTATATATGTTTTCCGATGGTCTTAGGCGACCCCTGTGAAAGGGTCGTTCGAACCCCAAAGGAATCGCGACCCACAGGTTGAGAACCGCTGCACTAAATCAATGACACAAAATGTCCAGGCCCTGACATGAGTACTGACTGCCCTTGACAGTTTAGGGGGCTCTCCCCCAACCTTTGTGGGGAGCACTGAGGGGATGCCATGATAAGGAAACCAAGTCCCTGCACCCTGCAGTTTATGTTTAACACATCAGGTGAACACATCTCTGACATCTCGGTGATTGCAGGAGTTCTTAAGTAGCGGAGGGCAGGCCACGGGGTGGAGGGGAGCAGTGGCTATGCACGACTAGGGCAGGCAGAGACAGCACAGGGAGCAAGGCTTGGAGATGGAGGGGACGGGGCAACACCTCACCGACATGGATGACCTTGGGAAAGTCACTTCCCTTCTCTGGTTCAGCTTCTTTTGTGAGGGACGTGCGAACCCGATGGTCGCCCAGCCCTACAAGCCACCTTCCTGTACAGGTAACCTAGGGGCGCTGGACATGGTCTGGGAGCTACAGTTAGTTGCCTTTGGGTTCCAGATCACCAGGTTACCTCTGGACTTTGGGCAGCCACTTCGCCTCTCCGTGCCTCAGTTCCCTTCCCTATACAGTGAGTACGGCA